TATAATCAAATTTGTAATGTTACTTAACTAACGAACATCATATGCAAAGTCAGTAGTTACGAAAGCTGGTATATTAAATTTAGTACGCTAATTGACTAAACACAATTAGGGGACGCTTATGAAAGGCTTATGCGGTTAGAGTAAAAAAGCATGCAATAGAGAAAATGGAAACGATCTTACTTTTTAAAAATAGTAGGTAAATTAATGTCAATCTTTATAATTTCACCAACTCATTAATAGTTTTTCCATTTAATGGATATCGAACTAGTGTATTCAAGACAAAATAAATATGCATTCTCTTACCCCGCTTCGCAGCCAAATATATTTTCTTATGCCATATGCCAAAAAAAAACTTTACACCCGCACCAGCGACAGAAGAGTTGCGAGTTATTGTGAAGGCAGTTAATATACGTAAAATTCACAGAGACAAACACCCAGACTCTTAACAATTTTTTGATGGTTATACAAATTACTTGTTCCGTGCGTGATTCGAACCCGCGGCCCTGCGTCGTAACTCATTGATAAGCCACCGCGCCACAGAGCGGACGTAACATAATAATATGTGTGTGCAGATTGCCTCGCTGACCTTGTGGTCGTTAACGCGATTGATTATCGTGCGGTCCCAGGCTCAGTGGCAGCTCGGAGTTAGGCCGTTGGTGGTGTTCCACCCCCCGTGCCTCGGAAAACACGTAAAGCCCTTGATCTCTCTCCAGTCGTGTTCGAATGCCGTCCCACCGGACTATGAGAGTGAGTGAATAAAGAGTGCACCTGTGCTTGCGCTTACACATGGTCGTTATAATACTGTCCTGCGCAGATGGCTTGTATCTGTTGAGGCTAGCCGCCGTGATTGATTCGGTCTGGTGGACATTATTATAGTTGGCGCTGTGGTCGTTGTAACACTATGTAAAATTTACGACGTGAATTCGGTGTGAGATTTTTTTTATAGGACGGGGTGACAAACGAGCACACAGTCCACCTTATGGTAAGTGGTTGCTGTGGCCCATAGACATCTACATCTATCCAAAAGTGCAGATGTGTTGTCACCTGTGAGGACTAAGATGGAATGCCTCTTTTCCAGTAAAAAGAGTCTCCGGTTCTCTACACACACCATACGAAACACAGCAGCATCACGCTACTATTCTACGTGAGTGTGGTCCTTCCACGGTCGAGCCGACCCATTCATACTACAACTATAGGTACTACTTATATAACTGCAGCATGGCTCCACCACGTATAAAAATATACGTGGATTGTAGTAGAACAAACCGGGTTAGCTAGTGTTTCTTATAAAAATCGGCACATTATATATTATTACTAATTAATAATTACCTTAATATACAAGAAAGGGTATGAAAATTTATACTTGCACATGTATACATTTTCTTTCCTTTCTTATAGTAAAGGAAAGAGATAACCGTCCTTTCTAGAAAATTGCACCAGTCTATGTTAATTAAGTTTCAAGTTCATCATGTCGAAAATAATATCTTGAGTAAACACGATATTTTCCTTCACCGTCAATAACGGGGTAAATTAGTACATAAAGTTTCAACTTAACTTTCATGGTAACTGGCAAGATCGAAATCGGTTTACTCGCATAAGATAAAACTTGATTTTATGTCATTTGTTTCGTTTTCCATCTAGCCGTGCAACTGGATATAAAATGTCATGACTTTAATTTGTATTGTATTTAAGAAATGTATGATATTTCTTTCGACAGTTTCGATTTTCATGAATTTTACCAGTTTCGTACAACATAAATATTACTACACTTTCTATACCTTAGCAAAGTTATATCCATCCGTCGTATTTCAATTTATCTAAATTTTTAATAATTGTCAAAATAAGTTGATTTCTAAAGTCACTTTACAAGTGTGCAAGAAATGCACTCTTACTACCTATACCTACATTGAATATTTACGAGAATAAAGTTAGCCGGCAGCTCCGATCTGTTTAAACACTTAATAAAAATTTGGTATGTCACTTTACTTAAAAAAGCAGGTGAAGCAGGCCCTTCCGATCGTGTGTACTAATTAGATTCCAATCATAGACAAACATTGTTATAAACATGATGTCAAATTAGAGTGACTAACGAGCACACAGTACACGTGTGCTGTGACCAGACAACCTTAAACTCAAGTCAATCTATATATTTAAAACATTAAAGATTTTTAACATTTATATGGTCACTATAAAATGTTGTTAGGTTAGCTAATTACGTAATAACTTAAAACAGAAGGATCCTTAAGTAGGGACTGAATAAATTACATGGATCTCACAACTTTTTACGGTAGAAGAACTGAGTTGCGAGACTTGGTTTTTTTACAAGTTATGTTTTTGATGGCATCTCATTTCTTTTTGTAGGTAAGATAGTCCTTTTTTTACCTTTCCGGCACCTTCTATTTCCTGAATACCAAAAACGTACCTATCTACAACTATTATACATATACAAGTACACTGATTCATTTACTGCAAATATAACTTTGTAATTCTATATATTTATATAGGATTACAAAGTTATTTATGCAGTTGATGTATCTAGAAAACTGGACCGAAATTAAAAAATATTTTAGTTTTTCCTTGATCTATATACTAAACACTAATTGCATTCTAAATTTGAAGCTTCTATGTCCGCTAGAAGTGTCTTAGAGTTTTGATGATCGGTCAGTCAGTGGGTGACAAAATTAAGAAATTTTGACTAGTTATAATTCTTAAACTACTGGTTCAAATTAGATGAAATTTGAAACACACCATGTTTATATAATGCTTACTTGGTTAATGAAAATTCAGGCTTCTAGTTTAATGCACTACGAAGTTATAGAGGGTCCAAAATGGCCTGAATTGTTCCGAGAAAAGTATAGTACGGCCGTGCCGCTTTTTTTGCTCAACTTGGCGGGGGCACATGAAAAGTATTCATTTTATTTATTAAGAAAAATGTAAATGGAGCACAAACGGAATTTATGAGTAGAAAAAAATATCTGAGAGTAGATACTTAAACAATTATAACTGAAAACCGAAAGGACTGAATTTGAAGTGGAAAACAGAAACAAAATTAGATATAAGAAAGTTAGGGACGGCTTAGACGGTACACTGTATCACAAAACGTCGCTTAGTTATTTGTATGAAAAGATATTTGTTAAAGATGTTTGATCTAGGTCAAAAAAATGTTTTCGGCTTTTATTACCTAGGAGATTCGCTGGGATTAGGTTTGTATTAATTTCGACACTGTTGACATCCGAAACGAACTGCCACCATAAATCCAGTCTATCCTGTCTTTATCTACTTATCACTTATTACAGCAGTCACTGACTATGCATGGTACTAATTCCTCCTTAAATCTATACATATAATAAATCTGTAGAAAAGTCGTGTCTGTAATTCTATTATTTTTTGAAAAAAACAAGTCCAGGGGACTAAACAAGCGGTACTGAAACCAAATTAGTAGTTTTTAGAATTTTTGTCTGTCTGTCTGTCTGTGTGTCTGTCTGTGTATTCCGGATTCACTCATAAACTACAAGACGGATTTACATGAAATTTTGTAAGTGGGTAGTTAAGAACCCGGGGGCAACTTATAGGCTACTTTTTATCCGATTACGGAGCATCAAAAAAGAAGGTTATGTTTTTTTACCTTTCTTTGGAGTTAATTTTATAATAAGTGCATAAAATGTCATTAGTCTTAAGGTAGATTACATAAAGTTCTTAATTTGTAATGTATATTTATAACTGAAGCTTAATATACTATGTTAACCGTTGAAACTTAGTTTAAAACTTCACCGACTACGTTGTATGTTTATAAGACAGTGCCATCTATTATTAAAATGCAAAAAGTGTTACGTTTTCCCTTCAGGCACTAATAAATTATTTATTATACATATTAAAGTTTTATTAAAAAATATAAACATTTATAGAAGCTTTTTATATGTATGTATTGCTTTTAAATTTTGTCTATCGTTATGAAAATCAAGTTTAATTTAAATACATAATAGCGCCATTTAAGAAAAAGTAAGTTACAATGACGGCATCCACACCTTTTTCTGCCACCAGTGTGGCGCCACTTGTGAAGGTGAAGTGAGGTATAATATTTGACAGATATCAGGGCGGGGAAGTTAATTTGTTCGAAAAATGTAAAGGTTAATGTTTCTTTCTGTACTGTTGCTATATTTTATATTTTTAAAATTAAAAATACATAATATTCATGAAAGTAGAAAAATTTTAAAAAGTTAAAAATGTGCAAAAAATTAAACAGCAAACCACTGACTCATTGTTTTGTGTATTAGTATAATACTCTAGAAACTGATAAACTTTTATTAAAAACTTACTTCTCCATTAAATGACATTGTGTAACAAAAAACTTTATCTCAGTGTCAACTAGCGACATCTGGTGAGCAGAAAATTATTAGCCCTCATTAAACAGTATGGTTCTCTAACTACGTCACTTCACGGCGACTATTTAAATTGTATATATTATTTGTATAAATACATAATAAACAATTATAATTTTTAGTTAGGTCCTTTTCTATCCTATAATAGGAATATAACTATTTTTTTTTTTATGAAATATATATTGGTACAATGATAATTGTTTTATTTCACTATTTTCCGTTACGTTCCGTTAGATGTCATTGCTGAACATCTACCTCGCGTAGGTAAGATTTTTCGTGAGTTTTCTTAATGACACATTATTTTATATCTACTCAATATGATAATTTGTAAAAGTTGTTATATTTGTGATAATACTGTGTGCTAAGTTTTCTATTCTTTTACCTTTCATGACATCATATTACGGATTTACGGATTTCTGATATTTTGTCTTACGATACGGAATTAGTTGTTTGGATTTTTTAGACTGTAATAATATATTAAATTTAAATTAAATTAAATTGAATTAAATAATATTATTATTGTAGTCTAAGGTTAAGTGATCACTAAATTGTTACATACGTGATTACATTTTCGGATAAGGATTTTATTTTGTGTTTTGGTTGTTGAATAAATTTTAAATAATGCCGCAAAAAAAGAAAAGTAGTCTTTCTCAATACACTAGAAGGGCTAAAAGGATGAGACAAGTTCGATCGCAAGAGACAAATGAGGACCGTGAGCACCGTTTAGCTTACAATAGAGAACAAACTGCGGAATCTCGGGCATCAGAGTCCAGTTTTAATAATGAAACGCGCTTAGCTACAGATCGCGAACGTCACGCGTTATCTCGCGCTTCGGAAACATTAACAAATTACTCTCAGCGTTTAAAAGTAGACCGTGAACGTCATATCGAGTCTCGAGCTTTAGAGACGTTTACGGAGCATTCAGAAAGGTTGACTGCAGACCGTGAACGTCATGCTGAAAGTCGCGCTTCAGAAACGTTTACGCAATATTCAGACCGCTTGACAGCAGACCGTGAGCGTCATGCTGAGTTTCGCGCTTCGGAAACATTTACGGAGTGTTCAGAACGGTTGACTGCAGACCGTGAACGTCATGCTGAGTCTCGTGCTTCAGAAACGTTTACTCAATATTCGGAACGCTTGACTGCAGACCGTGAGCGTCATGCTGAGTCTCGCGCTTCGGAAACGTTTACTCAATATTCGGAACGCTTGACTGCAGATCGGGAGCGTCATGTCGAGTCTCGCGCTTCGGAAACATTTACGGAGTGTTCAGAACGGTTGACTGCAGACCGTGAAAGTCATGCTGAGTCTCGCGCTTCAGAAACGCTAACTCAATATTCGGAACGCTTGACCGCAGACCGGGAACGTCATGCAAGATCACGTGCTTCGGAATCATTTACTCAATATGAAGCGAGGTTAGCAGCAGATAGGGAGAGCCGTTCGGTAAGTAGGACACATGAAACCCAGCAGGAGCATGACTTACGCTTAGAATTGGCAAGGGGATATTATGAAAATTCGCTTCAACACCGTAACGAACTTTTGTCTTTACAAAGGGAAAGAGTGCAAGCAATTAGGAGTAACGAGATAGAGAGTGAACGTGCAATTCGGTTACAAGCTGATCGTATTCGTACTTTTATAAATCGTTCACCCACCTTTACTCCGCCATCTATGGACAGAGAGAACTACACTGATCTCCCTTGGGTTGATAAAGAAAATAGTGGTTTTACCTACACTTTTAATATTGACTATAGTGAATTTGCCGAGATCGGAAGAATGATTCGCACTTGTAGTCATTGTCAATCACTTAAGTGGTCTAAAGAATCAAACGGGTTTTGCTGTTCAGCTGGCAAGGTACAATTGGAAATATTTCAAGAGCCCCCAGAACCTCTTAAATCGCTACTTAATGGGGACCATCCACATTCCAAGCAGTTTTTAGACAATATCCGTTCATACAATGGGGCATTCCAGATGACTTCTTTCGGGGCCAAGCAAGTGGTACATGGAACATTTATGCCTACTTTTAAAGTGCAGGGGCAAGTCTACCACTTAATTGGTTCGCTTTTGCCTGAGACAGAACCAAAGTTTTTACAAATATATTTCGTTTCTGATTACCATGAACAAGCCAATATAAGGAGGCAGAATTTCCCAAATTTAAACGCTAATGTTATCTCAGAGCTTCAGGGCATGCTTCATCAGGTCAACCCTTATGTATCCAATTTCAAAGCTGTACTAGAGTCGATCCCTCAAGATGAATACAATAATTATAAGTTTGTTATTAGCGCGGATAAGCGACCTTTAGTGCAACATTCCGGCCGTTATAATTCTCCATCCACCAATGAAGTGGCAGTTGTCCTGGTGGATCAGCAATGCGACAAGCGCGACATTATAGTACGCACGCGTGATGACCGCCTGCAACGAATTAGTGAGACTCGTCGTTCTTACGACTCCTTACAATACCCACTTATTTACTGTCGCGGTGAAGATGGTTACAACTTTACGGTTTATCAAGTTGACCCCGCTACAGGAGCACCTCGGTTAGACAGAAAAGTTTCGGCTCTGCAATTTTATTGTTATCTCATGCAAATAAGACAACGTCGTTTTGTATATTTACAACGATTTCGTGGCTTATTTAACCAGTTTATTGTTGATATGTACGCAAAAGTTGAAACAGAGCGTTTTGTATTCATTCGTACTCATCAGAGACAGTTGCGTGCCGAAAATTATGTGGATCTTCATGATGCAGTACAGGGAGATACACACATAGAAAATTTAGGACGTTTAGTTATATTGCCTTCCAGCTTTATCGGGAGTCCCCGAAATATGAATGAACGCGTTCAAGACTCATTCTGTTATGTTCGCAAGTATGGTAGGCCAGATCTTTTCATAACAATAACTACTAACCCTAAATGGATCGAGATTTCTCAAGAGCTGCTAGAAGGTCAAGCATCGTACGATCGACACGATTTAATTAGTCGAGTTTTTTATTTAAAGTTAAAGTTGTTAATCAACTTATTAACCAAGCAAAACGTTTTTGGCGCTACGTCATGCTATACATACAACGTGGAATGGCAAAAAAGAGGGCTGCCCCACGCTCACATTCTTCTATGGTTATTACAAAAAATTCGTCCTAATGACGTTGATAATATAATAAGTGCAGAATTACCAAATCCCACAAATGATCCTATTTTACACCAAATTGTTAAAACACAGATGATACACGGGCCTTGCGGTGCATTAAATAATAATTCTCCGTGCATGAAGGATGGACAATGTACGAAAAAATATCCAAGACCCCTTTTAAGAGAAACAATCACTGGTGAAGATGGTTATCCCAAATATCGGCGGCGTGCTCCACAGTATGGAGGATTCACCACAAAATTGAGAATGTTTGGACAAGATGTAGAAGTAGATAACAGGTGGGTAGTGCCGTACTCACCTGTGCTATCGAGAACTTTCCAAACCCATATAAACGTAGAAATGTGTAACAGTGTTGAATCAATTAAATACATTTTTTAAGTATGTAAATAAAGGGACGGATCAAGCAACACTTGCAATGAGCAACGACAGATTTGACGAAATTACAAGATTTCAATCAGGGCGATACATAAGTTCTTCGGAGGCAGCATGGCGAATATTCAGTTTCCCAATAAGCGAGCGTAATCCCCCCGGTAATGCATTTAGACGTTCACGTGGAAGGCGGACAACGCGTATATTTTCATCCTGACAATATTGTGGAACAACTAGAGAATCCTAGACAAACAAATTTACTGACGTTCTTTCGATTATGCGAATCTGACGATTTCGGAAGAACTTTGCTTTATGACGAAGTTCCAGCATATTATACATACGATAAGCAACACAGGATTATTAATCGTCGCCGACGTGGTATTCCTGTTGAAGGTTTTCCCAACCTTTTTTAAAGAACATGTGCTCGGCAGAGTGTACACTGTACATCCCAATAACTCCGAATGTTTTTACGTACGTTTACTTTTGCATACAGTACGAGGACCCACATCATTTTTGGCTTTGAAAATGTTCAACAACACTCAATATCCTTCTTTTCAAGCTGCTTGCCGGGCTCGAGGGTTATTGGACGACGACCAGCACTGGGACAACACCCTCGCTGAAGCATCTGTTAGTGATAGCCCGCGTCGTTTACGGAATTTATTTGCGGTGTTGTTAGTATTTTGTGGCCTTTCAGATGCTAATCAACTTTGGGTTAAACACCAGAAAAGTTTAGCTGAAGATTACATTAATTTTGAACATGGTGAACTAAATCAAGAGATGCTCAATGATGTATTGAATCGTTGTTTGTGTGATATACAAAACACAGTTTTTTCAATTGGTGGTAATCCCTTAATACGCTATGGATTACCTGAACCAATCTTAAATGTCGAACAAACTAATCGAGAGTATGCAACGGAATCCAATTACGACTCAGAGGAACTGGCCCAAATTCTTCAAGTAGGTGTACCTATCATGACCCCCGAACAAAGAATTATTTTTGATCGTATATGTAACAGCGCTTTGAACACCTCTGGTGAAATGTTTTTTTTGGATGCCCCTGGCGGTACTGGTAAAACATTTCTTACGAAACTTATCCTTGCGCAAATACGTAGCCAGGGAAAAATTGCATTGGCCGTGGCATCGTCCGGAATTGCAGCTACCTTACTTCCAGGAGGCAAAACTGCACATTCCATGTTCAAAATACCCACACAATTAGACGTCACTGAAACCCCCGTTTGCGACATTTCACGTAATAGTGACATAGCTCGAGTACTTCGTGAGTGCACCTTAATTGTATGGGATGAATGTACAATGGCGCATCGCAAAGCAGTAGAAGCCGTCAATAGAACGCTGCAAGATATACGACACAACAATGAACTTATGGGTGGAGTCACTATGCTCTTCTGTGGAGATTTTCGGCAGACATTGCCAATAGTTACACGCGGGACAAGAGCCGATGAAATTAGCGCATGTTTAAAAAAATTCAATTCTTTGGCCCCATATTACAAGGTTAAATCTCACCACAAACATGCGAGCGCAAAGAGGCGAGAACACAAATGCTCAAGATTTCTCACAGTTATTATTGAGTATTGGTGAAGGTAGGTTTCCTGAGGTTGATGGTAGAATAGATTTAATTAATAATTTGTGCAAAACAGTCCTTAACATTGAGGAACTTATTATATCTGTTTATGAAGATCTGGCTGGTATAGTAAACCAAGGAAACTCTTGGCTTTGTGAGCGCGCTATACTTACGCCTCGTAATGATCAAGCTGTAAGTATCAACATGACCATTTTAGAACGTATTGAAGGGGAGAATGTTACCTATACGTCAATAAATAGAGTAGTTGACCGTGAAGAAGTAACAGCATATCCTGTAGAGTTTTTTGAATGCGTTAACGGCGTCTGGGCTCCTGCACATGAAATTAAACTTAAGGTAGGGATCCCCATAATTCTTTTAAGAAATTTAAGTCCACCAAAATTATGCAATGGTACTCGGCTCAAAGTAGTTGCTCTCCAGAGACATGTGGTTGAGGCAGAGATACTTACCGGTTGCGGTGCGGGTGAGAAAGTTTTTATTCCACGAATACCGATTATTCCGAATAACTTTCCGTTTCATTTTAAACGGGTCCAACTGCCGGTGAGTGTTTGCTTTGCAATGACGATAAATAAGGCACAGGGTCAAACGCTAAGCAGAGTAGGCGTTGACCTTACGAACAGCTGCTTTTCACATGGGCAGCTCTATGTGGCAATGTCGCGTATCAGCGATCCCACTAATTTGTTTATTTTAGCACCACAAAACAAAACGGTGAACGTTGTTTATGAAGAGGTCCTTTGTTAACTGAATATATTTTTTTTACATTTTCTTTTTACTTTTGAAGTTCTAACAAAACCGTGATTAAATAAATAAAACCATTAAATTAAATTGCATATTTATATCCCCTTTTTTGACTCCTTGTTTTGTATTTATTAAGATTTTATTATTCGAAAACCAGAAATGGATTAGGTGGTAGATAGCTGGCATTAGGTTTTCTTAAAATGTGGATATTATCATAAAATGGCTAATCCTTGCCATCAAGTCATCCAAAATTAAAAGTAAAAAATTTGATCTATTTTAGCCTTTTTCACGAAGCTAACGTTCAGGTAGGTATAAAATAATCTGCTTGATTATAATAAACATATAATTATATATACTCTGTTTGAAAATATAAAAGAATTGGAGAAAAAGATTACATGCGAACGAAGTCGCGGGCACAGCTAGTTATTGAATATATTTTTATGGTTAGTTACTCCCACTTGATCTATAACATCACTTACCCAGGAACCTATATGGTTAATGTGTAAGGTCTGTGGTGGAATAGCAGAAGTAATGTGTTTCCCATTACTACTGAGTCACATCCCGTTTTGTCGAAACTTCTAAAGGAAGAGAGATAGAGAAGGTTTAGAAAGTAATAATGTAGTTTTTATTTAAGTCACGTTATAATTTTAGTGTATTATCCCGTAAGTATTATAAGAGATGATAGAGGAAATTTGAAACTGGAAATGGGCAGCAATATCTTTCTGATAACAG